CAACTCACACCAGCTTTCCTCAGTCCAGATGGCCCCTTCCAGATGTGTTGGACATAATATGAGAACTTAACTTCAGAACATCTAGAATAACAGAATTGTAGTTTGGGACACATACAGCAGGGATCTCCAACCTTGGCCACTTTAAGACTTGTGGACTTCAAGCAGAGCTGGCTGAGGAGTACTGGGAGTTGAAGTCCACAAGTCTTAAAGTGGCCAAGGTTGGAGATCCCTGCTGTATGTGTCCCAAACTACAATTCTGTTATTCTAGATGTAACGAAGTTAAGTTCTCATATTATGTCCAACACATCTGGAAGGGGCCATCTTGACTGAGGAAAGCTGGTGTGAGTTGGTGCCTTGGAAGTTGTTGACTTCACAATACCTCTCCCTTCTCTCCTTCTCTCCTTCTCTCCTTCCTTCCTATAGGTTTTGCCGCCTTAGTGGCTACCTCCTGGTATGGCAGCATTATCACACAGGACTTTTTCAACCCCTACACACCCGTCAACTCCAGGTAAGTCAGATCTCAATGAAACTCTGGCCTCAACTGATGGGGTGGGGCAGAAGGACCTCCACTGGAAGTTGGCTTCATGGTTGACCCTCTGCTGATGGAATAGCCGAGTTGGAAGGGGGCCTTGGAGGTCTTCTAGTCCAGCCCCCCCGATCAAGCAGGTGACCCTATACCATTCTGGACCAACAGCTGTCCATCCCTTCTTAAAGCCTTCCACTGATGGAGCACCCATAACTTCTGGAGGCAAGTTGTTCCACTGATTGAGCAGGAAATTCCTCCTTAATTCCAGCTTGCTTCTCTCCTTGACCAGTTTCCATCCATTGCTTCTTGTCCTGCCTTCTTTGGCGCTTTGGAGAATAATTTCACACACCCCCTCCTCTTCTTTGGGGCAGCCCCTTAAAATAATAGAACATTGCTATCGAATCACCCCTAGTCCTTCTCTTCATTCGACTTCATTAGATCATCCTGTCTCAATATCTTTTTCATATCACGATGACTAAAACTGGATGCCGTATTCTAGGTGTGGCTGTGTTAAGGCTTGGTAAAGAGGCACTAATACATTGATTTCATGCCTCTGTTCATACAAGCAAGGATTGCATCCGCTTTTCCGGCTGCCTCCGTACACGGCTGACTCACATTTAATTAATCACCCACTACGATTCCAAGATCCCTTTTCACAGTGACTGGTTTCTGAGCTAGGTTTCACCTAATCTATATTTGTAGCTTTGGTTTTTCCCTGCCCAGGTGTAAAACCTGGCTTTTCTCCTCATTCAATGTCCTGTTGTTGGATAAAGTCCATTGTTCGAGTCTGTCAAGATCTCTCTGGATCCTGAGCTTCGTCTTCTGGGGTGTTGGCTGCTCCTGCCAGCTTAGTCTCACCTGCAAATTGAGTGGGTTCCCCTTCTGCTCCCTCATCTAAGTCATTCATGAAGCTATTGAGGAGTCCTGGGCCTAGGACGTAACCTTGTATTTCCTCACTGCTTACTTCCCTCCATGTGGATGTAGCACCATTAAGGACTCCTCGTTGAACCCGGTTTGTCAGCCAGTTACAAATCCATCTGGTGGGCGTGCTATCTTCTATCCCACATTTTTCTAGCTTACCAAGGAGTAGTTTGTGGTTCTTCTTTGTCGAATGCCTTTCTGAACTCCAAGTATAATATATTTTTCCCAGCATTTCGCTGGTCTACTAATTTAGTCACTTTGTCAAAGCATGAAATAAGATTGGTTTGGCATGATCTCTTTTTAACCAACCCTTTCTGGCTTCCCCAAAAAGACAGTGATTTCTCCTTGTCCCCCGCCCGGGCCACCTGCTCCAAGCTGTGTTGCTGCCGTTGGCTAGAGAAAGTCCAAAATTAATTTCCAAGGAGGCATATGAGCAATCTGCTGCATTGTGAGGCTCTGTGCTCTCCCCGCCGCCCTTCTACAGCTCAGCCATGTTCACCAGACCTTATGCGCGCCCTGGGAAAGGCCGGGGCCAAGAGGAGAGTTGATGCAATTCCTCCCTCGCTTCAGAATCCCGTCAGGCCTCCCGCTTTAATCCTCGCAACTTCAAGGAAGGCAGCCAAGACGCACATGCTGGAACCTGTGGGCCATGTGGCCTTGTGTGTGGAATCTGGGAACCAGCCAAAGGACATGAATGAGGAAACAGCAGATTCTAAAGCAAAGTCGGAATCAAAAGCGGAGATGTTTGCACCTGCAGAGACAAGGGAGTGGGAGAAACGACTGGGAGAAAGAATTACGCTAGCGTTTCTCAATCTTGGCCACTTTGAGATGGGTGGGCTTTATCTCTGGGTCTCCTGCTTTGCACAGGGGATTGGACAAACAGAGTAACAGGGTTGGAGGGGGCCTCGGAGGTCTTCTAGGCCAACCCCTGCTCAAGCAGGAGACCTTACTCCATTTCAGACAAATGCTCGTGCGATCTTTTCTTTAAAACCTGCAGTGATGGAGCATCCAAAAGTTCTGGAGGCAACTTCTGTTCCGCTGGTTGATGGTTCTCACTGTTGAGAAACTTCTCCTTAATTCAAGGTTGCTCCTCTCCTTGATTAGTTTCTATCTGTTGCTTCTTGTTCTGCCCTCAGGTGCCTTGGAGAATAGCTTGACTCCCTCTTCTTTGTGGCAACCCCTGAGATCTTGGAAGGCTGCTATCATGTCTCCACTAGTCCTTATTTTCATTAAACTAGACATACCCCAAATTCCTGCAACCGTTCTTCATATGTTTTAGCCTCCAGTCCCCTCATCCTCTTTCTTGCTCTTCTCCGAACTCTTTCCAGAGTCTCCACATCTTTCTTTATAATACGGTGACCAAAACTGGATGCAGATATTCCAAGTGTGGCCTTATAAAGTGGTATTAAGATTTCACGTGATCTTGATTCTATCCTTCTGTTGATGCAGCCTAGGATTGCATTGGCCTTTCGGACAGCAGCCAAACACTGCTGGCTGGTATTGAAGTGATTGTCCCTCTCATAGAAGGCCTCCAAGTTCCCTTCCAACTCTGTTATTCGGCTATTTTGTGTGTCGCCAAATAAAGAACTGAATTGATGGGCTCTTCCACCTCATTCTTGGGCTTCAGCTGACCATCTCTTTCCTCCTCAGGTATGAATTCGGACAGGCACTTTTCATTGGCTGGGCAGCCTCCTCCCTGAGCATCTTGGGCGGGGCCTTCCTTTGCTGCGATTGCCCCCGGAAAGAGACCTCCTACCCCCCGACTCGGGGGTACCCCACGGTTGCCCCCTCCACCGGAAAGGACTACGTATAATACGACGGGAAAGGATGACACGAGATGTTGGCATCGGACGACTCCAAGGGACATCGCTTTACTCCTGTGCTGTGCTGAACAGAGCAATCCTGCTTTGGCACACCGCCTTCGCCCGCCCACCCCACCCCCCATAAGTGAACTGTGCCTCTTTGTACCCCTGCACCCACTTCTGTTCCTGCCCGGGTCCTGCTCTCGTCCCCGGTGGGAAAACTGAGGAAAGGATTCACCCAGAAATCAAGAATGCAGACGTAGGGAACGCCACCCCCTCCTCTTGGGGAGAGGACCGACAAGGCAGCCATTCCCTTTTTCGGACCCTTCTTCGCTCTCTTAAGGACGGACAATCTTCCTCTCTCTCTTTGAAACCCTGCCATAGATTTCTCTCAAAGGGCCAGGGGAAAGGGGAGGGGGCTCAAAGCAGGCGGAGGGCCCAGTCTGGCAGAGGAAGGCCCGCCGGAAGAACCTACAAGTAGTCCTCGACTTACGGCCACCCTTGAGCCCCAAAATGCCTCTTGCTCACGTCAGTGGTTAAGTGAGGTTTGCCCCGTTTTGCGACCTTTTTGGCCACCGTCGTTAAGCGAATCGCCACGTCAATTAAGTGACTCACACACTTAGTTGTGACGTGAATCAGACTTTGCTTGTCAGAAGGTCACAAACTGCTGTAAATGCAACTCCCTCGCAAAGCACCCGGATTTTAATCACATAAACACGGGGGAATGCTGCAACGGTCTTAAACCCGGCCATAATAAGTAGCTTTTTTTCAATGCCGCCCTAACTCGGGACGGCCACTAAACGAACCGTCGTAAGCCGAGGACTACCTGTATTCTGGGCGTGAATGTGCTGGGGGTTCCCTCCCTCCCTGTAGACCCCCCCCAAACAAACGGACAAAAGAGTGAGGGACAGAGCACAGGGCTACCGAGACCCCCCCCCCCACCCATCAGCGTGGGGGGGGGGATTCTGCATTGCAAGAAGGCAGAATGAAGGGCGGCTCCTCCGTGCTCGAGGCCACCGCCGGCAGGGCTCCCATGCCAAAACCTTTG